CATATATTCATTGTATCTGATTTAGGCGTATGTTTCTGGACCAATCACAGATCGAGCGCTATCCCGAATTACCTTCCCCACCCAATTAAAAATACAGTGCAGTAAACAATAGGTTTTTGACCAATCAGGAAGCTCCCAGTATATATCTCAGTTACCTTGTAAAGACAGTACGTGGGGATATTTTTCCAATCATTGTTTCGAGTAATAAGACCGAGGATGTACAAAGTCGCGTTAAACGTGATTTATTTGAGAATTTTAGAAAAAGAAAATGGCGTGAAATACTTGTTAATTTGTAAGTTATGATTACTCGTGAAGGGTTTTCGATTTGCATTCGGAAACGGCTTGCGCAGTTAAAAACATTTTCAACAGCACTCATACCAATGAATCACAAAATGCACTGGCGTTCATGCAAATTTACTCCACGCATAATGTATTGAAATTGAAATTGCTGATAAAAATATTGTAACGTGTGTAATATAGACTGATGATAATAGTAATAATTATGATAATGATATTAGTTACAGAATAAGGTCATGAAATGAAAACTTCCAGAAATTCATCAAGAAACATGAAAAATGATGGCTCAACAAGTCAATGGTAATCAAATATCACAATAGCTCTTCTGCAAGATGACGTCAATTACAAATCTTTGCCACTTTCTTATTGTTTTCATTTGCGTGTTATTTTTACTCCAGTGTTTTTGGAATACTTTAAAGTAATCTCCAAGTCTGTACTATGTAAGCGAGGCTGGGGTAGGGGAGGGGGAGGGGGAGGTGAGAGGCCTGTTCGAGAATGCAGTGGCTGCGCGCCACACACAAGTTGATTAGCTGTGTACAGATTCATCGATTCAAGGCCTGGTTACCTTGTTTAAAAAGTCAGAGCCTTTGTTCATCTTAAATAGCAGGAACTTTCTCTGACAGATTAACCTATTCCTTCAAAAACCGGCAGTCTAAATCCCACAGGTATCAACGAACGCTTTTCATTCCACTAATTTATTCGTGTTTTTCTCGTTGCCATGTTCCCACCAATCACGTAGCTCCATTTTCTGCCTTTAAAAGCACACACAACCCACAATTCCTCTATTCGCTCCGACGAAGGGCTAACGCTCGAAACATCAGCTTTTATAACCATAACGGTGGCCAATTTACCATTTCAACTTTGTTGACATATTCAAATTATTTCGTTACCCCCACCGACGCAGCGCCAAACAGTTTCTTTAGAAACTATCAGCCTTTATTCCTTCAAAAGTTTGGTTACCTAGTAACCGACAGCTAATTCGATAACAGAGCGCGAAACGTAGAGTAAGAAGGTGAATGAACTCTATTAATAACACGGCGTGTCCAAACCAATTTTAGGAAATTTGGCGATGCAATTTCTTCCATTGATCATTCTTTGTTTATAGCTCTGCCGCATACCCATGGAATATCATCTTTTCGTTTGGTTGTCACGTGACTGACCGAGCGTACGTACGCACGTGCCTTGAGATTGCACGGGTAGGGTAGGGGGGACTATCAAAACGAAGGTAGCACTGTCTCAGGCGAGTCTTGGCAAATGCACATCTTTTATGTTATCATTAATATTACGAACTTGGGAGCTCCGCTTTTAGGCTTGGCTAAATCTATTTATTACCCTTTTTTATTTCAAAAAATCTTTTTCATGCGAACGTTCAGGCTAACGTTGAGATTATCCTTAATTTAATGAGTATACCAAGAACATACCAACGCTGACAGCCGTTTAAGAACGGCTCATTTTTTTTTTTCAGCTAGAAGTATAAATAAAGTAAGAGAAATATAAAACTGTGGTCTAACAGGAAAATTAACTCAAATACTTGAGGACACTTTTTGATATTAAAATTGCGGTTATTGCTCAAAACACTGAAGAAAAACTCAGTTTGTAGTCGAACTTATCTGGTCACGTCCAAATTGATACTACAAAACTGTAGACTAAGATAATGTTAAGAACGTTTTCAGGCTCAAATCGCGAAAAAAATGGGAACGTTTAACCTCAGCGTCAAAATTAATCGTTTTTACAAAAAAAAAAAAATAGTGTATGTTCCTTTTTATAAATCGTTAAATCACAATATGACAGTATGGTAACCTGTTTCTTGCCGATGTGTAAGTGGTTTTACACGAGTACAGCCTTTCGTTGCCCTTTGGCAAGAACAGAATTAACTCAAACGTGCGGAACTGAAACATTTAGCTAACAATTCCTTTCCTTCGCTGATATATCTGCATGCTGTGCTGAAGGTACCATTAGAAACATACTTTTAGGATGTTACTGAAATTTTAACAGGAACTCTCTTTGTTCGGCATTCAAAACGTAAATTAAACTTTGGAGGCTGGAAAACTTCCTTCAGTAGAAACAATTGCTTGCAATCTGGTTGGTTTAAAACAAGTCTTTTCCCGTTTATTGCTTTATTGTTGAGAGTTTGCGATGAACAACATACATTCGTTGTTGAGGAAATTGGATGACAGCCGTCTAGTGGAAATAAAATAGGACGAAAGATATATTTTCTTTTCGCATTACAATTTTCTCTTCAAGTTTTCAAGCCGGATGAGCGATCTTTTTATTTGAAGTTACAATAACCAACTCGTCGAAATACTTTCCTCATTTTCTACTCTATGGCAACTTTTAGAAAATTTCTCGCCCCAAAATTAGGAGAACACACCTGAGAATTTTAAAGGAAGAATCATTATAAATGAAAACTATATTGAAGGACCATGTCGCACATTTGCACTCTGAACGAAAAGTGCTTCTAAAACAAAGGCGAAACTGCATGCACAAAAGAAGAAATTTGATGAGGTTTTTTTCGCCCGAGTTTGCAGTTACGGTAAGAGTGGCAACGTTAGCAAATAATATAATTTACTCGCATCCAATGGCACAACTGGCTCATGTTATGTATTTCGTGTGATGCCAGATTTAAACGTGTTTCGATCATTCCTGCACGGTAAACGCCACACACAGTCCGTGTGCCTTAGTCGAAATTTCCTTTCGGTACGATATGTAAAAACAATTTTTAAAACAGCTGTTGTTTCTTTCGTTTCCAGGTTTGCTGCATTTCTTGTCGATGTCAGAGTTATTGGCTACACGGCCCGTAGGAAAAGCGTATCAAGCACAAAAGATGCGACTAAAAGTCAGGGAGTAACTCTCAATTTGATGTTCACAAATATCTAACAATTAATGCACCTTTTGAATTGAAAATAAACTCTTGATTTGTCTATCGGATTTGAAACACAGAACGTCCATATATTTATTCGCGAAATAGAATCGAAAAAAAAAAAACAAAAACAATATTGAAATATTACCAGGTTAAATGCACTGAAGAGATTGTCATGTTCGTGAAAAATTTAGACCTCGGTGAGAATGAAATATTCAACGACCCGAGAGCCTAATAGTTGAATTAAAATCTGCTTGGGACTGTCAATTAGCAACCGATGGATCAGTTAATGCTATAAGACATATTGTAGACGGAGTGCTAGCCGCGGTTAGGATGAGAGAGACATTGTTGATATTCTTAATCGATGACTGTTCAAACAGAGTTGTTCAGATAAGCTTATGTTCATCGTTACTATTTCAAACCTTTGGACGCAGTATCAGAGTGGATTATGTGATATTGTTGGTCAATTTCGTTTCGATAACGAACGCTATAACACGATCGCTCCGTATCGAAGAAAAAGAACAGCTTGCAATTCAAAACTCGGTGAGTGGAAAAGTTTCCACCTACCTCAATCTGCTCTTTCTTGTGTCGCCTGCCAAAACAAAGGGGTCGCGAGAAAAAGGATTTTAAACGTTTGAACTTCATCTTGACAATAAAGTTATTATAAATGAAACGTCGATGTTTCAGCATACAGAGAAAGCTGTGCTTTTTCGCACCGCCGGCAAAGTCGAGGTAAATGTCTTTTACGTTCTGGTTACTCTCCACTGTCGTCACAACAGACCTTTCAAATGCCTGGCCAATAAAAAGTGTAAGGTAAACAAAAGCAGTTTACGTAAGACGGAGACAATTAGTAAAATAACTCCGGGCATATGAAGGGTTCATTCGATAGAATGATTTCCCTTCTGCTACAAAGAAATTCAGTCACCTCAATATAACCGGAAAAAAAAAAAGAAACGAAATAAAGAAATGCTAGGTAATAAATTTCCCAAATGAATTAAAGAAAAAGCAATCTTGGGTCTCAAACTCTCCTAGTTTCTCATTTTAGTGTCGAAGAAGTCTGTGATATGATAGAGTGACTTCGTTTGAAAAGGCGAGTGTGAGCAAATTTTTTTGATGTGATGTTGTGAGACTTGCACATTCGAGCAACCCGAGTTGAGAAAAGTGATATGATAAAATTTAGATAGCTTGACTCGTTACTTAGCATTTTGATTGTCCTCTGATGGAGATGATACGCGGCACTGCCGCTGTTACTGAAAGTTTTAAAAGAAAAAATGGCGCAGTCGTGATTCAGAAATGTAGAAAAGCCTTGTCTTTGCAGGCTGGGAACAAAATGTAGACTCCAGATGCAGCTGGATATACGTATCTATAAATGCTCAAAAATCATGATGTACATAAAAAGATTGCAGCAGCATACTTGAAAAAGCAATCGAGCGATCTATTACCAAAACTTGCCTTAGAACATACATGTAAAAGTGTCCATCCTTGTCAGTAGTCTGAGAAATTTTCAGATGATTTTAAGATGCTCGAGAATGGTAGAAAATCAGTTTTTATAACATTTCTGGTTTGGTAACTTCAACAAAAAGGCTAAACATTCCCCTCGAGAATACAAGTTTTTTTAATTGCCATCGCAGAGAAAAACTTGAATAAAAAAATTGGACACTGTTTAACTGATTTTCCCTGAATCTGGCCAAAAACAAATCGAGGATCTGGATATGTACAAACGGAAAGAGAATTGATAACGTTTCTTCCAAAATCCAAATGCTATCAGACAATGAATCATTACGTAAATCCCTTGTTTTGTTGCCATTGTAATACATGTAATTGCGGTATTGTTATTTTTCAGTTTGCACAGGGCGGAGATTCAACTCACTTTTCAAGCCACGAGGGAACTTTATTAAAATAAAAAGGAAAGGGTTACCAGATTTTTTAAAAATAAACTGAAGTTAGTTGGAGAATAGTACCCATATTTATAGATACTCTACAGAGATTTTTTTAACATGTTAACTTGCAATCCGACTTGATAACGAAAACCAATGGACTGCGCGCAGATGAAGTCACTTATCCTGGAGATTTCAAATATCAAGATGAAAGGCAACCGAGGTTTTCTGTCAACTAACAATGGACTGGGAGGCTCACGTTCTCTTCCTCTGAAACAAGACCTAAATCTCTTTTGTCTTCAAGATGAACTTTTTGCAGTGGTCAATCGAAATAAACGCGGCGATGTGGACAGTGGAAAAATTATGCCAGCAAACTATCTTTAAATAAGGCGATACAATTAAATGCCACAAAAAGACGTGGGAAGCAAAAGTATCCCAAAGTTTGACGACCAAAGTAATTCTTGGTTAGTTAAAAACCGTAAATTGTCTCTTATAACCACTATTGATCTGTACATGTAAATAGGGCTATACAACTAATTAAACTAATTAAAATTAATTATAATCCATCGAACACTTGTGCTAAAGTGCGATCGGTCTAAACGCATCACGTGACCAAACATGCCCCAGCTAAAACTGGGAAATATCCGAGGATTTAACCCAGGTGATATTCCCCATTTTTTTTAACATTATTTCCAATACGACAAGTCTTCGTTTAAAATCTGAATTAAGGTGAGAGAAGAAGGGACATTGCCGGGAGGTCTGGGTTCTAGCTCACGCCTTGAAGGGAACAAACATGGCGGTCATGTAAACAAAGTAGCATTGAAAAGCCATGATCACCATGATCAAGTGGTTAGTCTGCTTAGCCTTCTGTGCAAATAGCTTTCGAATGCGCGACGCAAACGGGGAACCAGTCAAGTTTAATCGTTTACCCCGAGACCCTGAAATACTACGCTGCTTACACCAGAATTCATCGGACGTCTAGTGTCAACACAGGCTTACCATCTTAAATATCTGTGGTTTCGGGTTTCTATGGTTTTGGGTTCCTGTGGCATTTACATAGCCGTTATCAGTGTAGTTCAAATATATTACCTCTAGAATCTGTCCCTAGTAGTCAGTCTTCAAAAAAAAATCAGGTCCGAATAAAGATTAATAGTTCATTACTTGTTTGGAAGTGTTTTTTCTGCCAGAAAGCCTCAAAATCGCTCGTTTGGGGCTTTCAAAGTTCGGCGGTTAATTCGACAAGGTCGCATTTCTTCACTAGCGAGAGCCAGCCGAATTAACCGCCGAACTTTGAGAGCCCCAAACGAGCGATTTTGAGGCTTTCTGGCAGAAAAAACACTTCCAAACAAGTAATGAACTATTAATCTTTATTCGGACCTGATGTTTTTTGAAGACTGACCACTAGGGACAGATTCTAGAGGCAATATATTTGAACTACATTGATAACGGCTATGTAATTGCCACAGGAACCCAAAATCATAGAAACCCGAAACCACAGATATGTAAGATGGTAAACCTGTGGTGTCAACTGGCATTCTGACCATATTTGTGCAGGACATTCGAGCCATGGATGCAGAAATAAACGCAGAAATAAACGCAGAAATAAACTTCTTTGCCAAACATCCCTGTTCCAGCTTCTCAGCCCACCTCTGTAAACGCATTTGTATTACATACATTTCTTTTACTTTATGCTCATTATTTATCAGACGCGGCATTTATAAAACTTTGTTCGCTAGATTAATCATCAAAGTCTTGTAATGCTCGCGGCTGTGCTGCTGCGAAAAGAACACTTTAACATTTCCTTTTCGCTTATAAATTAAATCATTCAAAATACATTCATTTTGGCACAAAAATTAGATCCTTTACGAAGAGGAATATATAGACATTATGACACTGTGAAGCAATCAAGTGTTCCCTTAGTTTTTCCTCTCAGCCGGGCAGAAAAGGAAGCCTTCCCTCCCTTTCAGCAACGTGTTCGCCCTTTAACGCGGCGCAAAACCCTTATGGTTGAAAGAAGACCGAAACGTCTCCTACGCTACTCAAAAAATGATTACCACAAACAGTCCGCTGTCAAGAGAGAATCTTGACAAGTGTAGACTGCCGATAACACAAACAAGATTATCGTTCCTGCGGCACTGACTGAATGACGGTAGTCTTGCAGAGACAACTAGTATTCTATTCAGATGCTTCTCGCACGTGCACTGTCTTCATTTTCATTTTTCAGCTTCGGGCATTTTTTTTTTCATTTTATATGAAAACACCCTCAATATCTTGACGGTGCAAGGCTTAGTTATTAATGGGAATTTGAAAGACTCTGATCGAATTCAAATAGTCAGCTAAATGGCTGGTATTCTTAGGGAAAACCTTTTTTATATAAATTTATTTTCCCGTTCCAGCGTTAGTTCCATAAGATCCTTTCATCAAAATAGTGAAAAGATAGTCAACTAAATTCTGGAACTGCCTTCATTTTGAAACCGTATAACATGTACCGATGATTTTTATGACTTTATCGGTGAGATCCGAGTGAAAGGTCAATTCCAAAATTTAAAAACAAAAATGGATAAAGAGCGTCTTCCTTAATCTCGTTGAGGATATCTAAAACTAATTGCAGTTTATATTTCTAACCGTTGGCATCCTGCAACGATAAGCCTCTCAAGAAACTAACGAATATATTACAGTTGGTGCAAAGTTCACACGAGTTCATCGTTGACAGCAAAAAATCTGAAATCGATGGGTTTGAACGCAATCAACAGCAGTCGACGTCAAGGCGAGACAATTTATCCTGGTGTCTTTTATCAAGCGTTAAGGTACCTCCCCTCCCTCGTTGTTTCTCAGGCAACCAGCTATACACTTCGGCAGAGGGAAATAAGTGAAAGTGGAACCGGCAGTCCTGCCCATAAACACAAGACAGCCGACCAACGTGTTTTTGCGGACTTTTACTTCAATGATGAATTGTCCAGATCTGTTAGGAACCTATTGGCTTCTATAAACGGAGGGTATTAAGGATAGTTCTACGCTACAAGGCTAAACTCGATAATCAGCTTACAAAAATCTATCCGTTAGGGCCGCAGGTTTGTCACTTAGGTAGCCTGAGGAGACGTTAATTTCCCACGCACGAGATTACTGTGTGATGGATGTCCTCCTCTGGGTTGGGATGGGTGGGTTTACTGGGCCCGCAGTAATTGGCGCAAGCTGTTGCGGTGTCCCTGCCGGTCGGCGAAGCTAATAAACTAAAATAAACTATAAACTAATACTTGTTACTATCCAGCGTTACCTTTTGAAAATAAAGTCTCCTACTGGCTCAGATAATTTTGTTTTAATCTAATAAGGGAAGGTACGTTTTTTATTGGAGAGGGGGTGGGCCGGGGCTTCGGAGGGGAGGATCATTAGTAAATATTTTACAAATTGGGGAGGGTCAAACCTGTTTGAT